TCAAGAAACACGACAACGGTGGGTTGCCAATAAACATGGCGGTGCTCCAACAATTGACGCAAGGTGAAGATGTGGTCGATGCAGCCTCGACCTCGATGAAATCCGGCTTGCTTTTCACCAATCTGGCTTTCACGAGTGCCAGTCAGTCTGTGGAGAATGACAAAGGCAAGTAATTTAGAGGCCATGGAAGTCAGACTGGTCCCTCTATGATTGCCGCATTCCAAACAGGAGTTTCCCTTGAAAATTGGGACAATGACGGAGCGGTTCCAGTCTGTCGGGAATATCTCCTTTTCCCAAAGTTTTACTAGCAACTCGTGTAGATTATCTACTAGAGCAGGTCCTCCGAATTTGAAGAGGGCTGGGGGAATACGATCTACCCCTGCGGCCTTATGCAATTTCAACAGCCTGATCTCACGTTCGACTTCTGCGCGTGGGGACGGATCCAAGGAGACGGCCCAGGGAGAAGGGGACTCAATGCCTGAAGAAGAAAGCGATAACTCAGGTTGGTTAAATTACCTTGCAAAGTGTTCAGCCCAACGCTCCAAGCGTTTTGACAGGCTGTGGATCGGCTGCCCACTCTCGTCGCGTATGGTCTCGCTAACACGAGGTTTCCTGCTGTCTGTTTCCCGTATCAGACGGAGTAACTTACGATGATTACCAACGGCAGCGGCTGTTTCCATCTCCGAGGCACGATGAGACCACCAGGCTTCGCGGTCCTTCTTCAGGCTAGCACGTAGTTTTGCCCTGAGGTTTTTGCGCACCTCATTGTATTCGCTTCCAGCCGGAATACGTCGGCGAGCATCCATAAGTTCCAGAGACTGTGTAGAGACCCAATGTCCGGTTTGACAATTTGCTTTGCCGCATGAAGACATGCTTGCTAACAGCAACGTCTGACGAATATGCGACCAGTGATCTTCAACGGTGTTTAGTGGGCGCTTACTCAGCCCAAATGTCAGCGCACTTCGGTACACATTCAGAACAACTGGCTTCGCTAGCTGGCTGGTGTCAATCCGTTCACATCGACGTTGCGGACATCCACCGAAACGCACCAGGTCGGCACAGACAAGTGCGTGGTCAGAGTCCATGCTCGTGCTCCAGATCGAGCGACAGTTTTGGACACAGCCTCTCCAGCGGTAACTGATCGCGATATGATCGATTTGCATCCATGGCTGGCCTGAGGCTGGTGGCTGCCAAGTCACACTTCTGCGGGTACTGTGTCGAAAGTTAGTGCTCGCGAGGAAGAGGCGAGCATCTTCACACAGCTGTAGCAACTGCTCAGCGTTATCATTACGGGAGCCTACACCATGTTGGCCGCCCAGATGAAGCTCATCAGAGGACAATTTTCCGATTTTGGCATTTAGATCGCCACCTAACACCACAGTATCCGTGCTTCTTCTGTAACGAATGAACTGGTGAAGTTGCTGATAGAAATCATCTTTTACCGAATCAGTGCTACAGTTTGTGGGGGCGTAAGCCGCAATGACAAACAGACGTCGTTTGTTCCCGCGCGGCTTCGTAGCACGGAACGAACCAGCTAATCTAACGGCGCACATCCTACTGTTTACTGGGATCCAATCAGGGCAGCTTCAGCCCGGGGACTCAAAACAATGCTGACGCTAGCTTGACCGCCATTTGAAGCTACATCATCGCCAGACAGGCGTAATGAGAATGTGCCGCCAGTGTCGCATGTGGGGGATCGCAAGGTAAGCACGGAGCTCGAATCTTGCAGGCGGGTTTCTGATAAACAACAAATATCGACCGATAGAGTCTCTAGTGTGCGGGCAAGTGCTACCTGTTGGCCAATCTGTAGCAAAGTGCGCACGTTGAGGCATGCCAGTCTTAGCGAGACACGAGGACTCCAAAGGGAAACGGATGAACTGACGTCCGCTTGGTTGACCATGGACTTGTCGACTGGATTGGAGCGAGGAAGTGCGATTGTGTGTGATTTGAAATTAGAAGACAAGCTACTATTGAAGTAAGTTGGGGGAGGGCCAAGAATTGGAAGATTGAAAATGGGGGGATATAAGTAAAGTTGGAGCGGGATGATAAGGATGAAGAAGCGCAAGAAGGGGTCTAAGAAGACGGGAAGGCCTGAGCACTAGCATCCATACCCCTATCCACCCTGCTTGATGCAGCGGATAGGCGCCGTTTATTATCCTCTGCGACGGCCAGAGCATCAAGAAATTGTTGTAGGAGAGGTTCATTGTATTGCGTGGGCAGAATACTGTCAGGTTGCCCAGGCCTAGACAGGAGAACGATTAGGGTTCTCAACCAAAGCCTTTGGTTCAAAAACACCGCAAGGAAGCGGGTTTTGGCACTGGACTACAGAGCCCGTTTTATGAAATGAGGAGCCACCCCCATTCCAACCCCTAATCTGGAGAGCCAGGAGGCTGAGTTTGTCTGGCCTCTAACCATTGACCAATCTGGTCTGAATGGCTCTGAAGGTGCAAAAAAGCTCAATGGATCTCTGAGGCACGCAAATCATCGCACCACGGTAAGGTCCAGCCTCATTGCGGGCAACACCAACACCGTAAATACCTTGAGCCATTGACTCAGTATCGCCAAAGACGCGATGTGTGCATCCATCGTCATCAGAATCAGAGAATCGAAGATTTGTCATTACGCTCTTATCTTGCATGCGTGTTCCGGAGACAGCACACATCAATACCAAGAGAATGAATACTAGGGGTCAGTGCTGCCTGCTGACCGATCTGACTAAGAGTGCGGGCATTAAAAGAATCAATGTGGAATGAACGTCGAGGTTTGATGGAAGAGCTACATGCACCCATGACAGCAACTGCGAGGTCAGTAGCAGTCTCTTGTTCAATAGATGGGGGAAAAGAAATTTGAAAGGGAGAAAAAATAAGGGGAAAAGTATTTTCGACGGGGTCAAGAGGGCAAACGATACTCTCCTGTCTCTCATTTCGAGAGAGTGGTTTTGTTCGAGATGCCTTACTTCTAGCCTTTGACTCCACAGTCTGACCCACAAGGCAGTGCGGAGTAACTCCGGCTCGGGAGTGTGATTGCAGAGACCCATTGGGATCTGCTCGAGACATGTCACACACAACCTTTGAAGATTTAGTACAATGCATACGTATTTTGCGACCGCATTATGTTACGCACCTGCGCCCACGGCTAGCCGCAGTTGGGGTTGGTAGGTTTGCACCAATTTGACTATAGGCCGCCTGGCTTGAGGCAAGCGGTAGCAAACCACTGCTCACCCGGAGATGCCCTCTCGCCGTCAGAGGCAATACGTGACGCTCCTGCTCTACGCCACTTGAAGTGTGAGCTTATAACCCGCAGACCTGTTGTCTCCCATGGCTAGGTTTTAAAACAAAAAGCCGTCTACCTCTCCCTAACATCCGAAAAGGATTGGATTGTGAGATTGAGTTAGTTTGATTCCTAGCCATTGACCTCTCTGGTATGATAAACTCTGAAGAGGGTTGAAAGTGCCACCTAGCATAGCTCAATGGATCACGGGGTTACGCGAACCATCGTGCCTCGCTAAGATTCAGTCTCTTCTGGTGAAAACGCACTAAGCATCCCTGAGATACTGCAATTTTCGATTGAGTAATTAATCTAGCTGGCTGTAAGCTATTCTTCCTAGATGTTTTTACCAGACAAACTTCCGTGAATTATCCTTCCCCTAACTCATTGCGACTGTTTTTCGAGCTGAACATCTGGCCCTTGGATGGTGGACGCACCAACTGTGGTGATGGCGAAGGTGGTTTGGTAGTTTTGGAAAGTGATTGCAGTTTTTCGGACGCTAGTGAGCATATTTGGGAATTTATCACTTTTCGGTTAGGTTCCATAGACTTTGCTATTTCAAATAATTTGGAACTTACATGCCCCATTTTTCAACAAACGCTGTCATATCGGAGGAACGAATGTCTTGATGATAAAAGCGTCGCGCTTGTGCCATCAATACTTTGCTCAGCGCTTGATACCTTGAATATGAACAAGGACTTTGAGTTTCTGAGAGAACTAGTCTGTTACCCATTTTCGATGTTGCTCCTCACATTTTATTATTTGCACGTCGTAGAATGGGATTCCTTGACTTTCCTCGCCTAGCTTGACTTTGAATGATACTAAACTATTCTTTCCGTGACCCTGCGTCGAATACCGCAAGGGGCTGTTTCACCGTTACCGTCTTGTCCTCACATGGCATCCAGTTATCCATACCCATGTATCATTTGCGCACATTATCTGAGATGTCTCTCACTCTCAGATGACCTGTGTTGATAATGGTGATGTATCATTTGTAAAGTGTAGGTTCGTCGATCCTGAGCCTTTGCTTAGAGCATTTATGTTTAACATTATAAATAAATAAATATTTTGTTATCGAATGTATTGAGGTACACTTTATCAGACATGGTCAAAGTTTTACAGATAGTTGTGGGTCAAAACATGCACGTTGCGTTGCATGCAGTGAGCAGATGGCTAAGGGTATAGAAGTTGCAGAAATACGAAAACTACCGGTGAAGAACATAATCTTTTGTGATTTGGCCATAGTTTGGGTTCATGTACCTTTAATGTAGAGATCAATAGTGAAAGCATAAAAAGTGAACTGGTGACGGAATGTACAAACAGGAAAGTGTCTTGTAGTGTGCGTGTCAATAAATGAAATGGGACGCTAATCAATTTGTCAGTGTGAAGTCGTGTTTCACACTATGTCTCTCCTTTTCCTGACATTCCTCACTGCTGTTGATTATGCTGCAAATGATCAGGTCTCCTCGCGACGGACATTAGCTTCCATCTACGATCATACAGCTTTATTTGAAGCACTAAACATTGTCCTGCTTTCTCATCATTTCGCTAACGCTTGCATCCTTTGTTCCTGTTGGATCTTCCAGAAATCATTCATTCACCTTTTGGTCACAGTTTTGAGCTGAGGATGGTAGACTCATGTTCCAGTGTTGCTACCGGAATCATTATTGTCCTTTATGTAATTTCTACTATTTTTTCTCGGGTCCACCACTTGAACATACTATTCCTTTGTAGGCTTTATGCGACCATCCATCTCGGTATGCCTTGGTTATACAGCAGTACCGCCCAGCCATCGTGTTCGGACTCTTTCACTTCCCCAATGCTGCACGAAGCCCTTTGTCAAAACCACCGTAATGTATTGAATTCTTCTGCTTCAGTATTACTTGCAAGTGTTGCCACCAACAGTTATCCGCCTAATAGCAGCCAAATGGTGACGCGTGAAACGGTTCACCAATTTCCGGATTTACTGAGGCATTCCCTCACGAGACCTTTGTTCGGACAGTTTGGACCTATGCTGCACAGTGATATTCGGTCACATCAGCGTCAGTCGGCTATTTTAAATTCATCTTATATCATTGCTTTATGTTCAGCTTCCCTCTCATCTATCTTGCTTGATCATACTTCAGCTCCTAGCCCTAAAGTTCACATACCTGCCTTGTAATGGGAAGGTGCTTGTTCGAGCTTCTGTAGGGACCGGACGATCCTCGCAGTATTAGTATCCCACATGCGACTGGTGGTGGTTTCGCGGCAGCGAAGCCTCGGTACTGCGTGTCGGCGTCCTGTTGATGCCTTTCCTTTAACAGTTACCTATGCCCACCCGCTCTCTAGTTTCACTCAGGTGACTTCAGTGTTCTCTAAAACCGTAAGATTTTTCATTCCGTCTCTAGTCTCGACGGGTTTATAGCCTCACTTATTCTCTCATGCCACGACTGCCCAAACATGTTTTGGACATTGATGTGTTATCAGGATTCCGTGTTCCGGCTGGTGCTTTCCGGAACGATGCCCATACGTTACTGGTAGCTCAGCTGGCATGAACCTGTTGCCTTTTTTCATTTTTTCCCTTTTGTATTGCGATGCAGTAGCTGTGGTCTTTCCCACCTCTAGCTAACGTGGGTGATGATGATGATGACTTAGAAATGGATTTGTGTAGACATTCCGCATCTTCCTATTAGTTAGCATTCGTATTCCGAAGTTTCCAGCGCATTATCAGGAAGCCTTCTAGCCCAGCTATTATCCACCAAGACTTCCTCATTTCTCCATGTGTATTTATTGTGGATGCTACCACAGCGCATCCTCTTTAGTTCTGTCCGCTTTTCACTCGAAGCTTGGCCTTGGCGGCCTCTAATGGCTTGGCTAAACGCACTAAGTTTGCACTTTGTAACATGTAGATTCCTTTTCATAAGACCTCGACTTGACATTTAAAATTTACAAACCCTTATCAAATCCTTTTTACCATTTGTAAGCGTCATCATTGTGTTTTTACACAGTGGACGTTCAGTTCGACTCACTTGGTCGATGAACTCCATTGTCATTATTCATGTCGGTAATAATAATAATAATAATAATAATAAACACTGGGATAAGTGTGAATCAAAGCAAAAGTCCTTCAATCCAAGCGGTTCGTCAAGAGACGTGTCAACCAATGAGCAGTAGAGTCGGAGGCAAGGACATGCATTCAATTGCACCGCTGCGCGACCACTATTTCCGATATGGTTTCTACTGCTTGTGGTGACTACTTCTATAGCCTCGTCCATCGCTTTGATTCACGCCACTGATCGCCTATTTGCCAAATCGCCCACCGGCCCTCTCTAGGCTACACTCTACACCAGCGGGCAACGCACTCCAGGGTGTGGATGTGAAAAGATGTAGAGCAAACACGGCGAATTGAATGAACGCGATTTCTTTGACTGATAAACTGAGGTCTCATTGCCTTCAAATTAATTGAGGCTTTGAATCGCTATAGTTTTCCCGACCCATACAGTACTCTTTTCACCTATTTAACCACCGGAGTCTAAGCGGTTGATCGATAATAGAACCGCTGTCTTTCCCTCCCAGCTTTGCCGTATTTTGAGGGTATACTGCACACTGAAGCGTGCAGTACTGTGTCAGCCTATCCTGCAACGTTTATATTTCGATTAGGTCTTATCCAAAGTGTGCTGCTATCTACCAACTCTATATTAGTTTATCACTTGACTAAGCTTCAGTCCGAAAAATGTAAACCGAGGCAGGATTGTATACACTGATTTGACCTTTGACAATGACGTGAGATGCAGAGACGGAGTAACACAACTAGCTAAAATATCGTGGTGAAATCCGTTGATGGCTTCCCACAGAACTACACGCACTGGGAGTTGCGACACAAGCTTTTTTGGAATGTAAAGAAATTTCCGCCTCGTGCCACACATCAACTGATCCAGCCACCAAAAGCTTTTACATCAAAAGAAGTTACCTTGGTTGATCACTCGTATGATGGATCGTAGTTTTCTGTATGATTCAGCTTGAATTGACCTAGTTCCTCGCATGTTCCCTATCTCAGCCAACTTCAGAATTCAAAGACGACGCGAAATCATGTTACAGGACAAGCAACCGGAACGAATACAAGTAGTATGAAAACCATCGGTTATTTGTACGTCAGCAGAGGAGTGTTCATGTACTGGAACGGTCAAGTCAGTTGTCAGAATTAGCAGTCCAGCCCAGCTGGACCAATAAGGATGCAAACGCACGCGCCATGAGAGAGGCTCGGCTGTTCTTGAAAAGACTGCACATCTATGCGTTATTGACCGCAATTGTCTTCTCATTGAACTCACAGCTTTTCTCGAGACATTTTGCTTCTTTCGCACATATGTGTCATGTCCGCACATCTGACGAAAGTTAAAAGATTGCTCGGTGCAAATTCTGCTGGGTCGGGATCCAATTTGACTTTTTGTTCTTCGCTGTAGCACGGTGAGGAGGGGATGATAACACTTAGGCCTCAATAGTTTTCGCCGGATGGTTTTTGACCGTTGTTCAGATAAAATAGCAGTAGACAATTACTAGTTAATGCCAACTCAAATCTGACGAAGTGTTCAAAAAAGTCACCAAAGAGTAGCTGCTACTTTTCAGCAGCGATGGGAGAAAGGTTTCGAGATCAGGCGCTTTCTTCTACTTGACAATATCAATTTCTTATAAGGCTTTCATCCCAATAGTTCACAAGCTACATAGCAGAGCCTGGTCCGGAAAAGCGCCTCTCCTAGTTTCAAATGCTAGTAAGAGGACGTCATCACCTTGCAGGCTAACCACTGTCAGTGACAGTGGTAGATAGGTGGTGCTATATCCCAGTTAGTTTACAAATTATGTAGCCCAGCCAACGTTCCCCATGGCTCAGTGGCTTAAGCTGCTGGCTAGTTGGCATCTGCCTCTAGCAGTCATGGGTTCGATCCTCCTTAGAGGACCGAGGGAATGCGCGCCACTAACGAGGCGAAACGCGTCTGGCGCTTTTCCGGACTAGGCTCTGTTATGTAGCTTGTGAACTATTGGGATGAAAGCCTTATCAGATATGCAACTAAAATCCTGCTGCTTGTGAGTACTATAAAATATCAATTTCTGTGGGACCACGTGAGTGCTGTAGGCTGTCTTCATCGTTTCAGTGGATTCGGTCGATTTGGCAAAGACTGGTACCGCGGCGAACTAACTTAAGTGCTCCACTCCATCGATTGTGCGTTTTTTACCAACTGTTTCACTCACACCTGTTCTCAGATCTGTGTTTCAGATTGGCCGATACTGCGCTCAACTGACCCAGAGGTTACTGGCCCTACGCATTTCATGGGTACTAGGTATCGATTTGATCTAGGCTTCATCAACTCTCAAATTACTCCGATATTTCAAGTTAAGCGCACTTGTTTCATCCCTTGTCCTCTTCAGCGCAAGTTAGGGCGATTATTTTCTGCATTTAGCTCTCGCGTGCCTCATTCATTGGTAACCGTCGACTTGTGACTTGAACGGCCTCAGGACAGTCTGTCGTTTGTGGGCTCTAGTTAACGTGAGGCAAACCAAGGTAATTGTCGCTAATATAAGTGCAACAAATACAAACTTCGAAACGGCCTACAAGGTGGTGTTCATACTGGAATATGCGGTATATTTAAAACGTCATATCTTTATCCGCAAACCTCAGTCTTGCGTCGCTTAGTTCGAAAAGTGACGCTTCATCCTCTAAATACAAAAGCGTGGATAAGTTCAATTCTGATAAGACCCATGCACTATTACCAAAAGCATGCAGATACTACTGATAATGATATCTATTTAGTGAAAATGATCTGGCGACAAGACTACCGCCAGGATTAGTTGTAGACCAGAACTAAGGTAACGAATACAAGAATGTCACTGAGTTCGTGACTAAGCTGTATATGATAGTCTCTATACCGTGTTCCCAATCCGGGAAGACAACAGGCACTAACCCAATTCACTCTTTCTGTGAAATTCTCTGTTACCGTGCTATTGACTGCCCACCTCTTCGTTTCACCCAACTAATTAATGTGTTAGCGAACGATACTCAATCAGGCAGCCCGTTTGTGTGCATACAGAACTCACAGCCAGGCCAACGGATGCGGTACGCATTCAACAAGTACGTCAATGAGGTGGCGTAGTGTTTGTTACCAGATACTCGGACCTGTCTTCAAATATGAACACCAATTCGCAAGTATCGGTAGTAGACCCCTGTCGGTTCCTCAACATCCTCATTGCTCAGAAGCCTGCTTTCTGATCCGTGCAGGAGAACTGCCGGCACCTTATGGTTGCAATCCCTTCCATTAACCATCTATCGCCTGCATGGAACAAGAGCTTACAGAAGCCAAATGAACGTTGGTACTACGCACAATTGTCTCTTCAATGAGGTGACCACCAGAAACGATACAGATACACGAGTGATCAAATAGTTCGATATCTTTGGGTGGTTGTTCACTGACTGAATTGGTGGTTAGGCGACCCAGCCCTTTTACAGTGCTTTGTACTAAAACTGAAAGGCAAACTCTAAGACGCATCACTGCGCACTAGCTTATTCAGTAGTTCATGCATGGTATCTACGTCCAATTCCTAAGAACCATATATTCCACATGCTCTGTTTGACAGTCAGTCACCAGACAGAACTTCGCTCCATGGCAAAATTACGAAAGATAAAAGAGGGTCATTCATGGTCATTTTGAGCACAAGACTTAAGGATTACATGCCTACTTTGTAATCCGAGGGTGTCGTGTTCGTGCCTGCGCAAGGACCGGTCGATCCTCGCACTATCCTTAGCCCACTTGCTACTGGCAGTGCTTGCGCGACAGCGAAGCATCGGCACTGCGTACCGGCGTACTGCTGATACCTTTTTTGAATGCGACCGACAAACCTGGCGCGCTCAACTTATGCCTAATGCAAGTGATGGTTTTCCGTAGATTCCTACACGGCCTCAATGGTCACGGTGCAGAGATTTTAGAACAATTAAATAACTTGAAACACTGAGTCCCCTTCAGCCACTTCATTAACGCAGTAAGATGACATAGGTTGCGATATCTTAACCTTTCGATTACTCTCGTCAGTCGATGCGCAATACAGGCAGGTATCAGGAGAAATTCATTCAGACCCATAGCACACCCACCAAGGGGAAGCTGCCCGTACAAACTGCGGAGAAAAAGGATGTTTATTTGTTCTTACTCTTCAAGGGGGATCACTTAGCAAATGAAGTTGGTCACAAGCTCAGGTCCGCTCTAATGCGCACCTACTCTACCGCCCAACTACGTCTTATTCACACTACACGAAGGATTCCTCTCCACAGCCGTCCGAGCAGCGCGCCAATCAGTTCGGCCTCTAACATCATCTACCAGTTCACTTGCAGTTGCGGTGACACTTACATAGGCAAGACTGGTCGCCGGCTATCTCAAAGGGTGGCGGAACACTTCCCATTGTGACTAAGGCAGTTGCTGTCTAACCAAGGCGGAGCGAACCAAAGAATGAACCGGAACCCTGCCTCGTCTATCACCAAACACCTCATGCTGACTCGTCACCAGGTGAACCCAATCGATTCATTCAAGGTGCTATTGCGCAACAGGAACCCGACGTTGTTGGCAATTGGCGAGGCGCTACTGATAAGGTTGAAGTGTCCCCTGCTCTGTGCCCAGATACAACTGAGGCAATCAGTTAGGTTGCCTTGGACCTGATTACGTCATCCCTATCAATTTTATCTGCTTATCTATGTTACTAAGTGTGAACCCTATATGTTGCGTGTTTTTCTGCCTGTATTGCGTAACGACTGACGAGAGCAATCGAAATGTTAACATATCGCAACCCATGTCTTCTTACTGCGTTAATAAAATGATTCTCCAGACTAGACAGCTTTTATTGCATTGCCTCTGTTAGTTCCTCCTTCTATGCGATTTCGGCCTAACTATTTGTCGCAATCTTCAATCCCAGCCGAAATCAGACGCCAATGCCTTGAAGCAAAAGCGTGTTGGTGGAGGGACTACCGAAACCGGGACAAGTAGTCTGAAAACCAACGGATATTTGTAGACCAACCCAGAGATGTTCACGTTTCAGAACAGCCACCTCAGCTACGGTAACTGATAGTTCAGTTCCGTGACGGATGTAAATGTTCCTGCTGCTTCGGCGGTACATCATTAGCTCAAATTATTTTCTTATGGTAATAACTTTTTTCGGGAGATTTTATTTCCTTCCTCATAATCGTCGTCCATACTTTGCCTGTTGAGATAGAATTACCTACGCCTCGTTCTTTGTATGCTTACTGACTGACTTGAGTTTTATTATTTAATACAACGTCTAACTGTGTGAAACCTTGATTCACTTTACAGACTTATTCCGATCCTTAGGCTGCTGTATGCAATCTTACTAAATGTTCCGAACCTTCGAATAAACGGCATCTGTCGGCACACTCTTCATGCAGCTTCATCTTATGAACAATGCTTTTATAGTTTAAGAAGCACTGCTTTGCAAACCCCGTTGGGTGTTCTGGTGTGTTATCCAAAAACGTTAATGAAACAAATACAGTTACATGTTCTACTTTCAGAAGAATTCGACTTATCGTATCTAATGCAGCAGTCCTACACTCCAAGTGTTTCTATAGCTTCAGTAGACGAAAAAATAAATCCCTGGAGTAGCATGGCGAGTAACGTCAAGTAACAATCTAAGTGGCGGGGTGCGTCATCCAACCGACTTTTAAAGATGGCTAGCGTTTGTGCAGAAACAACCGATTCGGGGAGAGTGTTCCATAGTTGGCACACACACGAATGGAAAAGCAATTTTTACGTCAGTCAGACGACTGTACTGTTTTACTAATTTCAAGGAGCGGCCTCTAAGTTTGGTGTTACTGCTGAGTTGCAGTAAAGAGCGGTACACAGGATTTGGATTGTATAAAATCAAGTACGCAATAATCAAATCGCCTCGTAGTCGGCGATACCGCCCGCTGAATACTCTCCCAGACGTTTAAACCTATCCTCATGTGGTGAGTGGCGCATTCCAATGATGTATTTAGAAGCCTGACTTTGAGGTTGGTCCAGTGCAGTAAGGTTGTTCTTCAGCCATGGCTGTCAGGCTTGGAATGGGTATTCAACATGGGGGGCGAACATACGCACTCAGCATCTGTCTGAAAATACTGTTATCCGAATGCCCGTCGTAGTAAGCCAACGTGCTGGTTACCAGCTTTCGATGCTTTTGCGGACTGCTTGTAATAACCCCAGGTCGCGTTCGACAGATGACCGCTGCCGTACTTGTTTTCGTATCGTGTAGGAATAGGTACTCTGGTGCCGTATGGAGAGTACTTTGCATTTGTCCACGTTTAACTATAACAGATTTCGGGTTGAGCAATCGTTTGTCATATCTAGATCACACTGAAGTAACTTCTGATCGGTATCCGCTTGAATCCGACGCCATATCTTGAGATCATCAGCAAACAGCAGCAGCAAGTTTCCGTTCAAGGTCAGTGATGAATACCAAAAGCAATCGTGGACCTAGAGCTGCGCCCTGAGGTACACCATACTTGACTATTATGGATTCAGATAAGGTACTCCGGACTCTGACCACTAATTGTTGTTGCAGGAGAAAATTGGTGATCTAGCTCAAGAAAGGGTCACCGATCCCCTAATGTTAGAGCTTGGAAAGGAGAATTCCCTGATCTAAACGATCGAATGCCTTCGATAAATCCAAGTAGATCACATCAACTGCCTCTCCAGCGTAAGCTGACTTGGTCTAACTACTCCTTGCGGTCAATAGATTCGTTATGCAAGATCGCTGTCGACGAAAGCCGTGTTGCCCGGGTCCAATAATGTTACCATTTTCTAGCTAACACACCAACGCCTCGGCAACGATGGATTCCATGACTTTTTTATAATACAAAAAGAGAGACACTGGGCGGTAGTTTGGGTGCTCAGTTCTGCCTTCGCCTTTGTGAACCGGTTTTTATTCCAAGCTTCTCCATCGCAGTAATCTGGTTCTGGTCTAAGCAACGCTGAAAGTACTGGGTCAAAGGTTTTGTCAGTTGTCTTGCTACTGCTCCCAGTGCCTTTGGGTAAATTGTGTCGACTCCCTGGGAGCTGTGTTTGCATAGAGACATCAGCTTCTGCAATACAGCTTCGGCAGTACAAGAGAGGTAGGTGGGTCCTGGAGGCGAGAAAACAGAAGTTGGATGATGGCTTGATGGTAAGACCCTCTGAAATGTGAGGGCATGTTGCGTCCGCAACGCTTTTGCTGCTTCTGTAGCTGTTCTAGTCGGACCATCAGTCATCCGGAGCGGAGGAATTCCCTACCTCATCTTACGACGGCCATTAACATACTTGTACAGCAGTTTGTGGTTAGCGCCGAGAGTTTTCGCTATATTCTGCTGATATGCAACTTTGTCGTCTCTGAGCAGTTGAGTGCAGTAGTTACGATGGGCTACATAGTTTTCCCAGTTATCTGGCGTTGGTGATGGTCTGCACTCTCGCCAGGCTGCGTTGCGTACAGTCCTCCATTTTCTAGTTCTGCTCCTCACTCAAGAAACGGTTTTAGACTCATTGTAAACCCTTGTCTCTGAGGCATCCATAACCAGTTGATTGAATTTGTTGACGCATTCAAGCCAAGCGACTTCCGGATAGCCTACAGCGAGGAACGACCAGGTTGTGGCACTGACGAGCTAGGCTAAGCGGTCGTAGCACGTAATGGTGCGCGCCATCTCAGTGTTCTCGTGACGATATTCCGCATAGCAGATGAAGTCGAAACTGCTGAGTGCTGCGACCCAAAGGGCATTCTACAATCAATACTTCAATCAGGTCTTTCTCGCTGGTGAACACAAAGTTCAGCAAAGATGGTCTATTACCTGTTCTGCAACGAGTGAACATAATGACGTGATTGTAAAGTGATACACCGGTTGCGAGCTCTTGCAGATCTGCCTTGAATGGTTCTCCGTTTGTAGCAGGGTTTCTAAATAATGTACGTTGAAATCACCCATGATAAGGGTGTGAGTGCGCTTTCACTTTAGACTGCATCTTAAAGCTGTCACAAGGTGACAGTCCATTTCCGGTGTAGAGTTTGGGGGCGGTATATCAAGGCTATAGGGCAGGTGTTTGCCATGTAATTGCAATCGGCAACAAAGAGAATCGACGAATTGTAACTCCGAATCCTCAACGGCCTCGCACTATAGGTCGCTTCGGTAATAACGAATTGCCCCGCCTCCTTTCGTAAGCCTGTCGTTTCGGATGAGTGACAAAGTCCCGGCAGCGAGACTTCAGCGTCTGTCATTCCACTGTGCAACCATGCCTCCGTGATATCGCATGGGATCGAAATTCAGCGATCTTTCAGTTCGACCAGCTTGTTGAAAAGGCCTTGAGCATTGATATGAATGTAGGATAGATTCTCGGTCTCTAGGATCCCATAGGGAGCCAAAGAAGTCAAGTGTGGTAGAATGCCGACTGGTGTGAGGTCGGCCGTTATTCGTTTTTTATGGATTGATGCTAACACGTCGTTCACAAGCTGAGTTGACCAAGGTACGCCCCAATCCACAACAGACGTTTGGTGTGTCTGTCACGATGACATCCACTTCTCTTTATTGGTTGTTTAGAAGCTAGCAAATGTGTCCCACTCGAAATGCGTTGTTCTTATTTAGTTATCTTACGCCCCTCGGTCACCTCTCTTAGATGTTTTTGCGCGGGGCTTTCATGCTCACTTCTGTTTGTGCTTCTGGATATTCTTTCACCTAAACTAGCATCATCAAAAGCACTTTTCCCTAATCTTCTCGTTTTGCCCGATGGTAAATTTTCAATTCCTGGTGTTGGATGCTTGATTTCATTTCTTATTTTTCGTCTGTGTTTTAGCTTTTCATCTTCCGCCAGCTACTTTAGATCACGGGTTGCGGAGTGGTTCAGATAGCACCGTGAGTCATATTCTTTTGTTCCTTTTCTGGTGTACGTTTTCTTCATCCTCTGGTGGGAACATTTTCCTCATTTCTTTTCAACATCGTGCTTTGTTGCGATCACTTTCACTTTACGAATCGGTTCGCTATTTCAGTTATTAAATTAACGTCAAAGTTTTGCATTCTGCTAGCGGCATGGTTATCACCACTGAGATATCGGTATCGTCCACATGATTAGATTTAGAGAATTCCTCTACGTTGCATTTGTGTTTAATGCGATCAATTTTGTGTGAATTTTCTGGTCATGATGAATTCTGCGCACAACTACATAAGGAAGTTGATAGAAAGGTTTGGTCAAATCAATGCGTTCCTCTGCATGGACTGCATCAGTGGACGCTCCATCAGATAAGACTCAATCGCGCAATCAGTGTTAATTCTGCATTCGGTTTCTTGCCTCTACCTGTCAACATTCCATCTAGGCTAAATGTCACTTTGTCTTTTCCTTATCTCTTTTGCTGTCCCGTCAGCAAACCACTCCATCTTCCTCGCCATTGTTACTTATCGCTGCCCTGATAACGTTGGCGGTAGAAACTGGATTCACTGCAGTTGGGTACCCGAATCACTTTTATTTAACTGAATTGAACTAGCTACGTTGCGTAAAGTCTTCCCACTGCAAGGATCACTTTGATAGTTTTCCTCATATTGACTAACAACCTAGTTGTATTCGACCAGCCATTACAGCCCGTCGTGAACACACGCGTCTCCGTGGAAGAACACCTAAGTTATTACTTTAACCTGGCGAATCATTTTGAACGTTTGGATCACCGACCAGCCACTGTATGCGTTCTCAGTATTTCCTTTGGCTGACTGCTAATAATTCCCTAGTGCACGGCTCTGTATTCTAATGTCCCCTTTATGCCAACTCTGATTCAGTCACCTCAATGCCAAAAATCATGTTATTCTTACCTTAATCACTGCTCTTATAATCATAATAACCACAATACATTGAAGCGATTAAGGAAGAAGGAATCTGCAGTCATTAAAACTACTTTCTAAGAGGTGGTGTTTAGCAGCCAGACACACTAAACCGCTAACAAAAACGCTCTGTCTGGAAAATTCTCTAAGTTTATGTATGGCGGATTCCATTAACCTCTTCTAATAATGATATCCTTCCACTGAACCAAATTTTTCCTTCACTGTCTTCTTCCCCTTGCATCATTCGCCCTATATATTAGTGTTTCACTAGATCAGGCACAGTACTGTCAAACACCAAGCACCAGGGTGCACAATCAACATGTATTTGAGAATTTAACCCAACCGATGTAGACAATGCGATTTCAATGAATGTTATATTGCATTGCCAGGTTTGTTACCTAACGTGAGCTGTACTGCCCATTCACTGGTCCCAAAAGTATGAGTAGGAATATGCAGGCACGGTGTTCGAAGGCAATCGGTCTCATCATAATCCCTTTAACATGCGCCAGCTGACATTTATTCACAAGATTACGATGATCGCAATACACCTTTGTGCTCTATGGATTTGACGGACAAGCCAGTTACATGTCATTTTCGTAGGAGTGTTAGGGCTTTGGACAACCGCACGATCCCTGTTCATTCACACAATTATCAGTTGTGTAAGCCCATCAACTACATCCATTGTTTGTTCGACGATGGGGCGGAATCAGTACCATGTAGGCCCAACCTTTCAGTCGTAGCCTGCACTTTGGAGACGCAAAGCGCGCGCCGAAGCGGCCTATACTGTGGGTTCATATTCAAAGGAGCCGTGTTGTCCACGTACTCCAGGTTTGCCAGCCGTTCATCCGGCAGAAAACTGCAGAAGTGGCCAAAAGCACGGAGGAGTTAATGCTGTAGCAACAAAACTGGACTCCAACGTGGTTTGCGATGGTTTGTGTGCCTCGACCATCCATTAAGCTGTGTTGAGTGGTGCTTTTTACATCTTCAGAGCCACTCATACCAGATTTATCAGTGTTTAGAAGCCAGATGAACTCAATCTTCTGACTCTCCAGGTCGATGTTTGCAGTGAGGGTGCCTCCTTACTTCATAAAACGGACTCTCTGTACACCTCTCTCTGTATCGATCATGTTAGTGTATATACACTAATAAGATCGATCCTACTGAAGATTGTCTTACTTTTGAGACATGCAGTGAGGTCCCTCATGTGTGGTATGGTGTATTTATCTGGTATAGTTGGTTTATTTCGTGTGCAACACTCACCGCACGGGCGCCAGTCACTAGATTTCTCAGGGACCATTTGCGGTGGTAAGGACCAAGGGCTGTCGGAACGGCAGATTGTCCCGAGTTAGAGCATGTGCACAAACTCTGCCCTAGCTAGTTCCAGCTTCTCCGGTGAAAATCAGCCTGGACGAGATGAGACGGATGGGCAATTAGTCCGAATGTTATGCGTGACTTGGGATGTCACTGGTGGAGCCGCGCTCGTTGGCTGAACAAGGTTAGAGCAGTAAAGGAGAAGTTCGGTTTATGGGTTTTGCACTGCTCTCCTAGCCGAATGATTATTTTGCAGACGTTTTGTTACCAGACTAGGCGACATCGTTATTGCAGATTAAAGGCCTGTTTCGCAGAGCCTCGTAAGCGACTTCGTGATCTCGGGCCTGGGAAAAGGTGTAGACCGGGGTGATAGATGCGATGTCGACCTTGGTGCGACACACATTGAGTTTCCTAGCTGTGTTGACTATCTTATGGTGTTTCCCGTCAAACGAAAGGTCCAAATACCTCAGAATGTCTATTCCGATGATGGGAAGTGGGACTGCGGCAACGATGAGTACCCAGCACGACGTTACTTGAAGACTTGGGTGAAGTGTAGACGACCGATGACCATAAGGGGCACCTTACGGGACTTAAGCTTGTCGGCAGAGAAGCGGTTGGCTCACCGGGGATAAGAGGAATGACGCTGACTTCCACCCCCCAATAGCCACTAGCAACCAGGTCCCGGAATCATAATTCTTAATTTTGAAGAGACTACTTTTAGTTTCGTGGGCACCGTTAAACACCATCACGAACTGACCTGGAAGTGCCCCTATTTAGCGGAGGAGAAACTACGTCTCTGTTCACATTTACAAGCATTGTTACCGAAGCACAAACGGTAACAAAGTAACCCCATCCTGATGAGACTAGTTTGTGTGCCTCAGCGATCCATTGAGCTGTGCTGGTTGGTTCTTCTCACACCTTCCGTGTTACTCATACCAGATAGGTCGCTGGCTAGGGGCCAAGACAACAGCCTTCTCGTTCTCCAGCTTGGGGTTTGGTGTGAGTGTGGCTCCTTCTTCCCTAAAACGGTCCCTGTAGCGGTCAAAACTAACATCCCAATGGTCCCTGGTTCACTGCCCGCTATAAGTCAGCCGCTGTTTGAAAAGATTGCACTTCCAATTCTTAGGTCATCGGTTCGAATCCGCGTAAGCGCGGGCGTCCTCGCGGTATACTCAGCCCACACGCAACCGGTGGTTGTCGCGTGGCAGCAAATCGTTGATACAGTGTGCCAGCGTACCGCTGATGACTTTTGCTTTCGTTTTTCCATGAACTTGCTTTCGTTTCTCCATGAACTTTGCCGGGAGGCGCATAAAGCTTCTCCTCCGATTGACACTTGAAGAATTATCCCAGCCCTCGATCAGGCAAGTTAACCAAGATGCATTGCGTACCGAACTTTTGTTCCCTTGTTCTAATAACACTGAGCTTCAGTGGTACAGTATTTCAGCAGCCATACATGTCGCGGACGCATCTGACTATGGTACTATCAATCGTCACCGCATCACACTGGATATCTGAGAGGTCGGTGTACCTGTTGGAATCCAGAAGAAACCTCACTCTGGCTCTGATCACAGTGTAACTAGACGAATTATCAGACTCGAACTACAGCGGAGCCTGTGTGATGGCAACGAAACCTGGGGACCAGTAGGGCTCAAGAAATGTAAGAGGTATGAACAGTAGACAACTAGCACAAGCCTTTGCAGCTAATCCACACCACTGATCCCAGGAAACCAGGTGTCAGTGGGACAATCAGAGACAGCGCGTATACACTGATACACGATAAGGAGCGCGGTATGGCTCGTTGGATGGAACACTTTCAAGATCCGTTCTGTTTGTATCCTGCTTCCGGACCTCTTCCCACACAGTTAATGCATGATGAGCCATGGACGGTTAACTTAGAGGCTCTATCGGAGGCTGAGATCCGAAACGCAATTACATCCGCATTACTGGATTCCCTCGCAAGTGCACTATTTAAGCGTGAAGATGAGGTCCTTTGCAAAGCACTGACCTCCCTGTTCAGACATGTCTGGAAGGAGGAGACTCAGCTAACCGGAGTGAACCGATTATAGTGACAATCTACATGGTCAGTCGCACCGACTACGCTAACCACAGGGGTATTAGCCTAACACCGGTGGTGACAAAATTACTGGTCTCAATTGTTCGTCACCTCACTGCGGAGCGAGAATCTCGGAGTAGGGAAGAGCAGATAGGCTTCCTTCCAGGACGTAGCTGTATAAACCACATATTCACTCTGCGGCAGCGTCACACGTACCGCAGACAGACAATTGCTGTGTTTCTGGACATCATGAGTGCGTTCGATTCAGTCGATCGATGCATTCTGTTCTCACGAAATATGTGAACGTTTCGCTTGCTATATACTCGAACACGACAGGCCGCGACAGGGTCTACGGTGATATGTCGGATGCCTTTCCGACAACGAGTGGGGTTCGTCAGGGTTGGCCAGTTTCCTAGTTTTTAATCAACTTCTCGTCCTGGACTCCAATCTTGGAATGTTCCCTGGCGGAATCTTGGGATGCAGGCGTTGAGATGCTACCTGACGAGAAGCTAGTTGATCTGGATTATGCGGACGATCTCGTCTCGCTGTTTAACGATGTTGGGGCGGACCTATCAACCCTGAATAGCCTCTCTGGAGTGGTCCCATTGTGTGGCATACGCTTCACACTCTTAAAGTGCATAATGCTGCTGCAGAACTATCGGCCACTTGATAGCAAAGAACT